GTCCAAAGCACGTCTCTGACAACGACTAAAACACTGCACCCCCACCACCAGTTCCGCTGTACGGCGCAGAAACGTGGAAAATAGTAGAACAGGTGCTTCAACACTGCTATCTACACAACATCGCACGGTTTCAGATTCCGCAACCATTATCCCAACATTTTCATGCGCCGGTTTTGGCTGCTGTCTTTTGGCCACCCATTTAGATACAAGATCAGGATGAAGATTGGAATGAAGGGAGCAAATTCAAAGGAAAGACAGAATTCCTATAAACTGGGGTGCAAGAGTAATGAGTGTCACTGTTTGCGACGCCCGGCCATATCACTCAGTTTCTCAAACCACTGGTTACCATGATCTTGGGTTTCCCATCCAATGAGGCTAACGGGACCTATGTGACCCATTGTCCTGGTGAGGGTTTTCATACCCACATGCCAGGTCTTAGTTTGACTGTCCTTGACCCTTTGCCATCTGCTGCTTGCCTCGGCAAACATCGCGCACCGTGGCAACATTTTTGATGGTATTCGCAACACGTCCCAGCCGCCGTAATCTATGAAGGGCGACTACTTGTTCCAGTAGATGATGGCGATTACTTGAACTCTGCACCTCACCTCAGTTTGGTGGCAGATCAGGACTAGTGAACTTGACGGAGCAATAAAAACTACAGTGATCCGATCAGCCAACTGAAGGGAGAGTACAGGTCTCTAGGACGAAAAAAAGAAGGAATCGGTGAACACGATCACCAATTCGATCAGGAACACGTGTGAGTAAGTCAGCTAGTTGTTGACTAAAGCGAAATGTTTGAACTCGCGCCCCGCAGGAATGTGTCAACTAATCCTGGCTATGAATGTTGAANATCCCCCAGCATGTTATTACGTTTGTTGTGCTTGGTCACAAACAAGTGTTCCTTTTTTGAAGATAAAATAATCAAAGATGGCGGAGTCGCCACTATTGTGGAACGATATAGAACACAAAACTAGTGGTTGAAAAAAGGAAGATTGGTGCTTCAGCCACACGGGTTAAAATCGCGGTTGCGAAATTCAATATTTGGTTTTCTGGAAGTGGATATTAATTGATGGATAAAGGTGTAGACATCAGCTTTGAGCATGAAAGATAAATGGAAAGCGTAGTTGGGGTCTTGAAGGTTGTTGGTGTCTAACGCGGGGGAAACGTATTTCCGTCAAAAATAAGGAGTTGCCATCACG